CAGCTCTACAAAAAAATAAATAAATTAGCCAGGCATGGTGGGGCATGCCTGTGGTCCCAGCTACTTGGGAGGCTGAGGAAGGAGGATCACTTGGACCTGGGAGGTCAAGGTTGCAGTGAGCCATGATTGCATCACTGTCCTCCAGCATGGGTGACAAAGCAAGACTCTGTCTTAAAAAAAAAAAAAAAGAAGGGCTGGGCGCAGTGGCTCATGTCTTTAATCCCAGCACTTCGGGAGACCAAGGTGAGCAGAGCACCTGAGGTCAGGAGTTCGAGTCCAGCCTGGTCAACATGGTGAAACCACATCTCTACTAAAAATACAAAAATTAGCCGGGCATGGTGGCGTGGCCCTGTAATCCCAGCTGCTCAGGAGGCTGAGGCACAAGAATCTCTTGAACCCTGGAGGTGGAGGTTGCAGTGAGCCAAGATCACACCCCTGCACTCCAGCCTGGGTGACAAAGTGAGACTCCTCAAAAAAATAAAGAACTCGAATGCCCATTTCCCTGATGAGGATTCCAATGTTGAGAGGGTTTCTGCAATTGTCTAAGGTCATATAAGATGTGAAAGAACCATGACTGTTGCTATGATTTGAATGTTTATGTCCCCTCCAAAATTCACATGTTGAAACATTTTAATTTTTGTTTTACAAATCAAAGTAAAGTACACTTGGAAAGGCGCTAAGCTGGCAACTTGAAAGATCCAAGTGTTCACATGTTGAAATGTAATCACCAATGTGATAGTATGAAGAAGTGGGGCCTCTGGGAGCTGATTCAGCCATGAGGACAGGGCTCTAGTGAATGGGATTCAGGCCTTTATAAAAGAGGCTGCACACAGCACTGGACCCTCTTTCCCTTTCATCCTTTTCACCATGTGAGGAAGACATTTAGACGGAGCCATCTATGAGCCACAGACCATCAGACATCAGTCCTGCCCATGCCTTGATATCTTGAACTTCCCAGTGTCTAGGACCAAGAAAAATAAATTTCTATTGTTTATAAATTACCCAGTCTGTGGTATTTTGCTATAGCAACATGGATGGACTAACACAACTGTTAATTGAAGCATCATGGCCCCTCATCCAAGAATCCATCTATTACACCATGCATCATAATTCTAGGCAAAAAGTTAACACTCACTGTTTTTTGTTTGTTTGTTTGTTTGTTTGTTTGTTTTTTGAGATGGAGTCTCGCTCCATTGCCCAGGCTGGAGTGCGGTGGCACAATCTTGGTTCACTGCAAGCCCCACCTCCTGGGTTCACGCCATTCACTTGCCTCAGCCTCCCGAGTAGCTGGGACTACAGGCGCCGCCACCACGCCCAGCTAATGTTTTGTTTTTTTCTTAGTAAAGATGAGGTTTCACCATGTTAGCCAGGATGGTCTCGATCTCCTGACCTTGTGATCCACCCGCCTCAGGCTCCCAAAGTGCTGGGATTACAGGCGTGAGCCACCGCGCCCGGCCTCAATGTTTTTTAATAAGCAAATGAATGAACGAATGAATTAAAATGCCTACCTAAACACAGAGAATACATTTAAGACATCACAAAGCAATCTTGAAAAAGAAGAACCAAATTGGAAGACTTATAATACCCAACTTCAAGACTTACTACAAAGATACAGTACTCAGGATAGTGTGGTCTTGGCATAAGGACAATAGGGTAAATCACTGGAACGACGAAGATCCATAAGGGAGAGCCCACTTATGTGGTTTATTATGAATTTTCCAAGCCAAGGATGCCACAAGGTCCACTGGGGCGGGATATAATAGCCCCCCCCCTGTTTTTTTTTTTTAAACAAAGTGGTTACGAGATTAACAGGATATCCACATGGAAAAAAATGAGCCCCCACCCTACCTGTACACATCCCCACACACAGAAACAATCGATAATGGGAGCTGGCCAGTACCAGGCATGCACATAAAAAAACTAAAACTTTTTCTAACTTCTAGCATGACACATGGGAGATTCTTCTGGACTCCGACCCACCCGTGGGATGGCGATAAGACCACTTAACCTAAAGAATTGTGCTGCAAATCGACTTCACCAAACGACTTCACCAACCAACCCGAAATCAAAGACACCATATTATTATTACATCTCCTAATTGTTGGGAAAATGTTTACAGTAAGATGTAGAAAACGAAACCACTCTCAAGTATAGTAAGGGCTTTCCGCCCAAATCCCAGCCTTAGTAAAATATCACTTCCCAAGTTCGTGTTTACTTCCCTTGTCCACAAGACGCACCACCTTCCTGTCTTACTGATCATTCCATGCTACTCAAGGTACTTGGCTGACAGGCTCATGGCCTGCAATCCAGCTGCTCGGGAGGTGAGGGGCAGGAAGAATTGCCCTGAACCTGGAAGCGGAGGTTGTGCTGGTGAACTGGATCGCACGCACTGCACTCAGGCCTGGGCGACAGAGAGAGACCTATCTCAAAAAAAAAAAAAAAGTACTTTGGGATTGAGGGTGCAGCATCAGTGAAACACCATGGGAGGTAGGCGTGGGGGTGGCCTCAAGGACCTGGTTGGGTGAAGATTCCTCCACAAATCTTTTCAGCCAGGCCCTGCGGTATGTCATCCTTGGTAAGGTATACTCAGTAGGGGATGCTTCCTTCTGTATAAATAAGCTCATGCGAGCACAGCCTGTTTGGACCCAACTTAAAGGTAAGGAATGAAAGTTGTAGGCCAGGTCAGTGGCTCGCGTGGCTCATGCTGTAATGCCCAGAACTTTGGGATGGCAAGGGCAGGCAGATCAGTTTGAGGTCAGAGTTCGAGTCGCCCTGGCCAACATGGTTGCAAACTGGTCTCTTACTCTAAAAATACAAAATTGCATG